AAGGTTCTGGGTGTTGCAGCAGCTGGTGAGGTTACACCAGATATTGACAGTGTGCTCGATTAATGATACTGATGTAGATCCTTGAGAATTGTATGCCAGAATCTTGAAAATTACCGCACTTGTTATACGACCATAGAACTTTACCTTCACTACAAAACAAGACTTAGTCAATTTTGTGTAATGTTTATTTGCTGAATAAACTATTCTTCAAGACAGTGAGTTACACAGAGGTTTCTTTCCTATGGTTAATGGTAACATATTGATACTATGATAAACATGGGGTGTTGCGATACGTTTTCCATGTACAACGTTAATAGCTTGCCACGTAGAACAATTTCTCAACGACAAGATTTAACTGTTCAAGACTTGATTACTTTCAGGTTGCCCTAAATAGGTGGACTTTTGCTGCCAGAAGTAACATTGGCGTTGGTAACAGAGCCAACGTTTTGCCATACCTAATTGTTTATACATCTAAAATATATCTGAAAACATCAAGGTGTCACCCTAACGACTCCGTTCCAATTCTATTGAACAATGGTGGAGACATGTTTTGTTTTAAAAGTGTATGTGAAAACTAACTTTGTTATCTGTAGACAGGAATGGAAAATTGGTATGTATGCCAAATTTTATCTCTCTCAGCGTGTGTACACACAGAAACAGCTGGGGAATAAAGCTTATCAGGATTGTATATTTCTATACTGTCCAACGGAAAGAAGATGGTATTCCATACAAAGTGTCACAACTATTGATGTATTATATCTTTAATAATTTAACAGTATGACAGGGACATCTAACTGAGATTGCATTGACCGTTGGACATAGATCATAGATTTTGTCAGATGATTGGCCAAAGCCCATTACTGCCCATTACGTCTTTCACCATGAAAGTTCAAACTCAATAATATGGCGTGAATCAACCTCTGTTCTCGTGACAATCCCGAATTCGTCGAGGCATACTCCTAAACAATCGTTCAATGTCAACTTTGTTGATTTTATCACATTATTCCTGCAGGGCTGTCCCAAGTTCTTTGAGATTGGTTTGAGGTTGTTGATGGTGACGTGCGCGCCGCATGCTAGCCATAACAAGATGGTTATGTTCTTTGTTGGATGTAATCAGTGACAATAATCATGTGCTCGTGTGTTGTCATCCTGACACACGAAACGACGCCCATGTCGCCCAAATGGCACCACGCGTGGCTCCAGGATGTTGTCAAGGTATTACTGCCGAGTGACACGTCCGTGAATAACATGGTGTCCTACCTGTCACAGTGACCATTACTGAGCCACACACATAATGATCGTTCTGTCTGGCAGTAACTGCATGAAAAATCTCAAACTCTGCCGCCCAATTTTGCCCAACGACGATATGCCAGCGCGGCCGCTCTTGACCCCAACGACGTCTTGCAGTAACGTCACGACCCGGCAATCGTAGGATAACACGTGGACGTCGGGGATGCAGGTTCCCACTGTATAGGCGATTAGGAATCGTCTGTCCACTCGCTCTGATACCCGTAGCTCTGTGAAGCTCATCACCAATTTGGGATCATTTTGACAACGGTTACTTGTGCGCCAGGTGCGTCAACCAGAATGAAGCTTGTCATCAACATTGTTTGTCTGTGGATATCAGGATTGTGATCAGCTAGTTACTAACTGTGCCTCTGTTTTCTATCTTGTTCCAACTTCTAACATGCCAATTGCACATAACCGTTACTGGCGTGGCAGAAGCCGCATGTCCAAAAACACATAATTGAGTTTTTATCACAAAATGTACAGCAGAACACTGACACGTTTCTCTCTAAATTTCGAATTTTATCCGGACCATATTCATCTGCATATCATGAAAGAGGCCTGCACAAAATTGGCGTGTTTGCACAAAATTTCATAACACGTTGTGAATGGAATAATCATTTTCATATTTCATATGCAACTAGGTTCCCAAATGATATCACCCCAAATGGATAATAGTAGCTTTAATAGTACACAACGTTCTCGAAACATTACTATCTGCTATTTCACATGACCTTTCTACAAAGCCGTTACTATATCGGATCTAAAAATCGCATACGTCGTGTCCCACTGATATAGATCTAAAGATACATATGAAACATTATATAATATAATTTAATAGTTTATTACCTGATGTTTGACATAGGGAACTCATATTACTTTAGTATTACCTGCTCAAAGATGCCATTATCAACGCCTATTAATGCTCTACAGAATAAAGCATTCGCAATACCTGGATGATTTGAACCAAAAAGGGATATTCTTTGTGATGTTTGCACAAGGCGCGTCCTTGTCTGCATATCACGTCATTTAACTGTAGTGGACTATATTCACAATGTGCACGAATATCATCATCTCATGCATTTATTCATGAGCTTTAATTATTGCATTCTTTGCACATATATGCATTTTACATTATTTTTTCATATGCAAACATTTACATGCAACACTAATTTGAAATCTAACACAATACTTTTTAAAAATAATCTCGACCAATAAATGACACCAATCTTAAGATGACCTTGAGAAAGTAAGTCAATTGTTTCTCCTCTGAGAGACTCTCATTTTGACAAAGCATGGCAGAGCATGGCCTTGAAGACTGATAAGGGTGTAAACATACACTTCGCAAGCACAGATATTCTGTCTGAACAATCTGCATGGTTCTCATGCCCCATATTACAGCGACAAGGAAAAAGAGTACAACAATCCTGCTTTAGAGTTGGCTTCTGATAATGCTCAGTCGCGATAGTAGGGTGTTGTACGTCCACATGTCCTTGCTATTTCGTTTCATCAGTTTCAGTCAATTGTTTCTGAATTGTTTTTGCAACACGTAGGGGAATCGCGTTTCTTTCTGGTGTGTATATCGGTGTTGTTTCCTTGTGCTGTTGATTGCCCCAGATGCGTTCGATCTGTTTCAGTAGTTGATGAATCTGTTTGATCATCTGAAGAGTTGTTCAGAGTAAAAGATATGACATCTGAGACTGTTTGGTTTCTCAATGTTAACATGAGTTGATAGAGTTACAATACATTTTAGCCAAGTGACTCCCAAAGCGAACAACCACAAAGAGAGGACTAGTGGCTGGTACTAGTTTGAGCGTCAGTCTGTAGTCAACTGAAAGGCAAAATAAACTCTACCTCTTAGTTGAATTCATCATGTGTTCGATTTTTGTTGGAAATATCTTACTTTATAGGAATTATATACAAGACATGAACAGTACTGACCCTTGGCAGCAAACACATAATACCTCTCCGTGTTTATATTGCTTAGAACTTGAAACAAAACTTGCAAAAATCCAAAATATATTTTGTATGATAGACAGCTTCTGACTAGTGTCTCAGATATTTTGTCTATGAAGATCAATAACTTCTGGTTTTGCCCAAATTTTACATTTCCAATTTCTATACCTTCTCATAGCTCTATCGTGCATAACTCCTCTTTATACAGCTTTATTTTCGCTCAGGAACTCTTGCAGCATACACTAGTGGTAGTTGTGTTGCAACTCCCGGAGATATACAGGAATACAAGATTGTATAATAAAAATATGGATACAAAGTGATTGTTACCCCTCCTGTGTTGCTTGAATAAACCATTAACATTTACATATTAATTTAGTTCTATGTATTATTTAACTTAAACCTATATACATGCATCCTATGTCTCGCTTTGTATATGATTTAACATTAACCTGTGTACATACATACACACACACACACACACACACACACACACACACACACACACACACACACACACACACACACACACACACACACACACACACACACACACACACACACATACATACATACATACATACATACATACATACATATCAGCAACATATTCCTAATATGAAATTCGGTCGTTTTTAAGCGAGCACATCCCCAACGACATTTAAAATGAAACCGTTCAATCATTTTATCGTAAAATCGCCATCCCACGCTTCCATAACGTGGTACCGTTATAGCATGTGGCGATCATTCTAGAATTTAACATGATTCCAACACGTAGGCGGGGAAAGAAAATATGGCCAGTGACACAACCATTGACTGTGTGGAAATTAATCTGCCGTTATTTTCATTCACAGTAGATGCATATACATACGTATTTGAGACTGCACTGATGGTTGGAAACAGTGAGTGAGTGAGTGAGTGAGTGAGTGGGTGAGTGAGTGAGTGAGTGAGTGAGTGAGTGGGTGAGTGGAGTGAGTGGGAGTGGGTTGGTGGCGTGAGTGAGTGAGTGAGTGAGTGGGTGGCTGGGTGAGTGAGTGAGTGGGTGGCTGGCTGGCTGGCTGGGTGGCTGGGTGAGTGAGTGAGTGAGTGGGAGGAGGCGTATGGTTGAGCAATTGGCTATATCATTATTATGACTGCCTACAAGTGATGGTAAGAGGTGTATATGAGGTCCTGTCTTGCCGACTGTTAGAGACGCAACTTTTCACAGAGGGTTCAGTTTGCTTGGAGTGAATAAGGAATTAACAAACATTAGCAACTTCACTACCCGATTCCCTATACAAAATGTACCCCAGTAAGATATCTTGATTCTTTACATGTGTTTGTCTGAATGTCGACCCATATTTTAATGTTCAAGCTGAGGATTACGAAAGCGGTGACTGCAACGCTAAACAGTAAAAGCTTCAACTTTTAATTCGATACATTTCCACCCTCCGTAGGACCTGTAACAAGCATCATTGTTTACTAGCCCATATCAAAGTAAAATGGCTGTTGGTGCCAAATTGGTTTTTCCCTTCTGGCAAACTCCAGTTTAGAAATTAATGACTACGTACGGATTATTAATAAATATAAAACGTCCACGGTGGATAATGATCATATTTATTTGGTCGTAAAAGGTGAAAATTATATGAATGGATAACGGTAAATCAGCGATAAAACCGGATGCCATGCGACATGCGACCACGCTTGTCGCTGCCTGTACAGGTGTCGTGCAGTTACATGAGAGACTTTCAGCAGTCTTTGAAATGCCACCCAGCAGCAACCAGGCTTTGAAGCTATGTTGTAACATCGAGGGTCTATCGATCAGAAAGATCATTATATGTCAGTTACAGTGATCGTTATACGTCATCTGTTAGGGTGGGTGGGAGATGGAAAGTCTTGTTTCACAACACTGAAGTTCTTCAAGTGAATGTTGATAACTTGCTTCCATCTGACACAAAAAAGCTTGATAATCACTGGGCCAGACTGAATTATTTACAAGTCGCCGTCTTATACCTAGAATATTGCCAAGGGCGGTCTTAAGAAACAAATAATCAAATTATCATTTTGTTGCCCGATGAGTGAGTGTGTGAGTGAGTGAATTGTAACAGGATTCAAGTTACAGCAAGTGGTGTCAGTCCGAATTAATGTATATCTCAGATGTTTATTTGTAGGAGACACCCATGATCGGGTACCGACAAACCTTGAAACTTCATTTGGGCGACCTTATTTCGAACTGAGGTCACGCTTCTGCATTCGTAACTACTCGTGTCATTCCGGCAAGCCGGATGGCGTCTTCTTGTAGGTCACGGAAAGAGGCGAGTAGGTACGAATGACACTTCTGCCGTACCCAAGGGACGCAACTCTGCACAGTCAATTACAGCGTCAAAGACGACGGGACAACCCGTAACAGTAGAATCAATGGGAATAGCCCTGGAAGAGCAGAGTGGGATTGATTTCAGCGAGAGTGTCACTGAGTACCACAGCAACACTGTGTGATCCGGAGATACAGATCTGTTACTTTGATTTTGGAACCTACAGAAGGAACTGTTCATTTGACCGTAGCTGGGATATTTTGAGATCCTCGAGATATGAGGGATTGGTTCCATGCACTGCTTCGTACGCTAGTGACAGAAGCTTCTAAATCAATTCTCTCACGCACTTGTAACCAATGCAGACGCTTCGAAACTTGTTAAACATGTGATCTTAATTTTGCCCCACAGACGGTTCGTGCAGACATGTTTTGGATATTTTACAACACTGGCAGTTGTAGGCATGTAGAGATGTTTGGTTTTCTTGCAGCATATACACTCATACACACAAATACACGCACATGCACACTCACACACGCCCACACGCACGCACACAGCACACAGGATTACATAAACATATTTATATAGTGAAGAAGCCCTGATTTCTGTGTACAAGTATAACATGTCTTTCACTGAATGGGGCCATTATCAAATTGAAGTTTTGCCTTGTACATGCTATTTTGGGGGCATGCACTTTTGCTAAATGCAAAATACTTATTAAGTCGACATATCAGTTCTCTCCATAATGAATGAGTGAACATAGGTTTATTATACTTCTGGAAATATTCCAGTAACATCACGTTGGGGGCACCAAAACTGGGCTTCACACAACGGACGCTTAGACTGCCTCCTCTGTCCTGATGTCAGTGAGCTTTCGGGACTGATAAGAGTAACATTACTACAAAAAAAGCTTGTTCAGCTTGACCTGATCAAATGAATACTAATGCATTGCGTGACCGTGTCACAACTGGTTGTGTCTATTATTGTGAAGGGGTGCACCTTTGTCAGTTGATTGTCAAAATGTCCGAACAGCCGAGACAAGGTCGCCGTTTGCTATTCTCTGCTCCCCTATTTAATGAAGTTAACTCGATCTGCCGTTTGTGCCAACTGACCTCCCGGGTCATGCATATGTAGAGTAGCTCAGGTCAAGCCGAACAAGCTGTAGTTTGTTATTTATGACATATATAGCCCAAGCAAGTAGAAATTAAATTATTCGTTATAATTGTTACCGTTTTTGTTTACCATTATGTGTTACTAGTAATCGCATGTTATTATATATTTCAACATATCTTGTATCTGACATCTGAAAATGGTTCACTGATAATTGATAGATCGTGCATAAGTGCACTATGGACATCTCTCACATTCCCTTCTGATGACTGGGGGTTGACGGGTTCACACCATGCAGTCGTCTACATGTTTCATACTATTTCAGTCGCGTTGTTACATCAGCTCCACCTATTTCCCAACCGTACACTAAGACCGCGGTCATGTTGGTATTAAACAACGTAGAAAATCATTTTACGAGTTTGTATAATAATTATGAAATATGTGTTAATTGAGTTTTCAAATAAAATGATTCATTTCCCTGCGGACAGGTAATGATGTGTCATAGCTGTAAGGTCCCATGTAAGCTGATCAGATCTTTAAGAGCGACATGTCAACATTCTAAAATGTGCATCTGTCACACTCTATATTGAATTTCAATCAAATATGAGGATTTTATAACTTCCTGTAACATACTGAGAATACAATAAAAGCATCAGTTCAAAATCAACTAACCATGAAGATCCGGGTTAAAAATTGGTCTTTAGCAACCCATGCTTGTCGTAAGAGGCGACTGACGGGATTGGGTGGTCAGGCTCGCTGAGTTGGTTGATACATGTCATCGTATCCCAATTGCGTAGATCGATGCTCATGATGTTGATCACTGGATTGTCTGGTCCAGACTCGATTATTTACAGACCGCCCCCACATAACTGGAATATTGCTGAGTGCGGCGTAAAACTAAACTCACTCACTAACTCACTCACTCAAAATCAAAATCAACCATGTTTTCATTCATAGCGCCCACTCACTGAGGTTACATTACATGGCTTCATCAAACATCATTCTACTCCAACACACCGTTATAAATAACCATAGAGAATTTCTATTTACATCCAGAATATAATGTTTAATGTTTCGAGACAGATATCATTGGAACCTTTTTGTTGCACCGACAGTATACACGAACAAAGAACCAATTCATGATAATTTATTTCACAAACACAACTTATGAACAGCTGAGCACACCTGTCCTGACGTAACCCTAAAAGCAATCTGAGACACGGTGTCCAATGTGCTTGTGTGGCTTCATGTAAATGCTTCAAGTATGGTATATATGTATCCATGAATGGATATAAATGTATCGGGTTATGCTTTTATTAGAGACGGGTTTAGACTACCTTCTGTTATTTCAACCTACAGTGTAGATTACAGATGACGCACATACATCGGAATATATAAAAATCTTTAACTCGATGCTATGCCATATTGATGAGATATTTCATGCCAGTACTCTTTTATTGTACTATTTGCATGTTGTATCATCAAACTCGTGATATTTCGCCAGTGTTTGTGTACGGCAAAGATATTTTAACAGTCCTCATTTACTCTTAACAATCGAAACACCTGACTAGAAGACCGTCCTTCAATGCATAGTCAACAACGTTTATAACGAACACGCCTATGACGACCTGACGGATGTAACGAACTGGATTTGTTTTTACCATGGTCACTTGCAATATGTACTCATGAAAAGAAATAAGGGAACACATTCAGCAAATATAACTGATTTAAATCACAAAAACAAAGGAAGTGATAATTGACTTTCGGAGTAAACCCACAGAAATGCTTCCAGTGATAATCAACGGTGAATGTGTTGCTCAAGACAGTGTCGGAGTATAAGTATCTGGGAACCTTCATTGACTCTAAGCTGAACTGGAACTCTAACACTGAAGCCCTTTACAAAAAGTGTCAACAATGTCTTCATCTCATGCGTAAACTGAGATCTTTTAATGTTAACCCATTTGTGATGTCATCTTTTTATGTAGCATTTATTCAGAGTATTTTAACATTTTCCTTCCATTGTTGGTACGGGTCTCTCTCAGTTCATCTCAAATCTAAATAGACAAAATTGTTAACACTGCAAGTAAAATCGCTGGAGTCAGATTTGAATGTTTATCATAAATATGTAAGTACCATATCTCTCTTTAAACAAATGTGAAGATACCTAAATCAAAGAATTTATGTAAATATGTTTGGTATCTCTCTAATGTGTCAGTAGCTCTGCTGATGTAACACAAATTCCTGAAAAGGCATTAATGAATTATTCTATTCTATTCTGTACATACATACATACATACATACATACACATACATACATATACATATACATACATACATACATACATACATACATACATACATACATACACATACATATACATACATACATACATACATACATACATACATACATACATACATACATACATACATACATCTCTTGGAGTTGATTCATTGCGTTTTACCCAGACGACGTGGGGCCTCGCTTATAATATCTATCACTCGTTTGTTCGATCTCTGTCTCAGTATAGCTTGAACATGGTCTGCCGATTGGGGAACCCCAATGAATATTCAACAGGTGCTTAAATTAAAGGTAATTATTATGTTGCCAGCTGGATTCGCGAGGCTTGCTACGACAGCTTGCTATCTGGCCCAACATCAAGAGCATCGATCTATGTAATCGGGATACGACATGCATCAACATTGTCTGACAACCCGATGGAGTAATTGTACTGTTTCTTACAATGAAATTGACGTTTGTCTTTGTCAGTATCAGTACAAGTCATAATTACGCAATATGATCTATATAACAGTCGTCAACATCCATTTTGATAATAACTTAAACCATGCTGACACAGCACGCGTATATGAACGCCATCATTTGCCAGAAGGCTCACGTGGTGGATATACAATTGCATTGTATGAGTTCAAAGGATTCTTTTCAATGAATGTCAGTCTGACTCGTGGCAGATTGTACATGTTTTTGCATCTATATGATATTCACTCAACGTCATTTTACCGCTGACGAAATTGAAACGCAATGCCAGACAAAGATATATGTATACATATGTATCGCATGCTCTTTGCAATGTAGCTGGATGAAGATGAAGAGACACATCCATCATCCCCAGAAGCTGTTCATCAGTGTCCATGTTTAAGATAGGTACCGCGAATATCGAATTATTGGGTATTTCTCAACATCCCAAACCAACACTAAATCTACATACTCTAACAATAAAACCATTTCATAATTGTTTCCAACTCCAGAAGTTATTGAGTACATAAAAACGAAAAACTTTACAAATAACCTAGATAACTTTTTCTTATCTCCACAGCAATCCCCTTCATCCCTCTACACAACCTCATTACAGTATTGAAATATTTAGTTCACGGTGACTCATTCATGTGATAATCTTCAATAAAAGATAGAACGCTGTCATGTTGGATACTTGTTTAAAACAAGGCTTAGACATTTACTTATTCATTGCGATTTTGATACATTTTCGCTCTTATGAATGAAGGTTTATTGATTATATTTTCCAATTTCCCTGTGCTGAGTCAAGGTTTATCTGAAGTGTACTCCACGGAACATCTCCTGACACATTCCCAAGGCCAGCATCTCCGCAGCCAAGACACCCGCCAGCCTACACCATGGCCTGTATGTAATTCCAATGCAAACATGTGGGAGTTGCGCCCTTTGAGGAACACCTGTGTGTTTGTAGATAGTTTAATTGACTATTTCTTGTTGTGCTCGCTGTTCAGACGGAAGCGAGGCCCAGTGAAGTGGCTGCATCGTAAAGATCGATAACCCATGCTACTTATGTTAGATCATACGAGGGCTCGTTAACCACCTGGTGTCTAATTGGTACATACACATATTTATGATATGGTTGTTCAAAGTAGTTATCTCTATGATGTTTTTCGCGAAGAAGGAAGTGACTGTATGTTCGATCTGTCTTATGTTACATAAAAACACCACAACGAATGATGTCATTTCCTTTGTTATCGAAAGCCTATGATTATATAAAATGACCTTCAATCGTATATATTATACATTGGAGGATGTTGATGAAGATGCGATGCCAGGCTTCAGTAGGTCATGCAGGCTTCTTTTGACACAGCACTGGAACAGTTGTTTTTGTGATTTAAATCAGTTGTTTTTGCTGAAGCTGTTGTTATCAATGCATTTTGTGTTGCCACACCTTGTCATTACAAATAGCACAGATGGCAAGTATGACAGGTGTCTAGTTGGTGCACAGGAGAATAATAAATCAGCGGAAATAGAACCTAGAAATTGATAAAAAGTGTTGACTGTGTATTTTATGATGAAATACAGGGTTTTAATAAACAAAAACATACAATCGATATTTCACTCAGCAATCCTCTAGTGCCCTGTGGTTTCCACATAAAGATAACTTAACATAATGAAAAAATGTTTGCTTTTTCGTGTTGAATTGCAAGTTTATCTCAATTTGCATTTTGTTTGCTGTGCCTCTTATGAAATATCATACAAAACAGGTCACTCGATAAGAAAAACATACTGTATGTATGAGCGAAAAAACGTTAAATGTTTTAAGTGTTGTAATAGTCCACTTGACTGTGCATCAGCTGTGTTCCCATTCTTCCGGGTTAATGAACTATCTGTCTTTCTAGTTCATAACCGGGGAGGTCGCGGGTTCGAAACCCGGTCGCGTCATAACAAACAACGTTAAAATATGGTACTTTTTGGTCCCTGCCTGGCGCTCGGCATTAATGGGTACAACATGGATTGGTCGGCTCGGAGTCAGTATAATGTGTCTGAGTGGGGTATTCATGCTTCACTGCGGCATGGTATCTCAGTGGGCTAGCACTATAAACCAGCTTTAGTCTGGGCTAGTACAAGTACCCACACATACACACGCATGCACGTCGTCATATGAGTGAAATATTCTTAAGTGCGACGTTAAACCCCATTTCACCTCACCTCAGCTCACCTCTTGTTCATAATTTCCACACAATCACCTTTTTCGACATTTTGATGTTTAAAGTAATATCTTGGTAATATAGTCAAGCCATATCCTTGTGTTGTCATCGTGAAGAATGTATTTCCTTGTCAGAACATTCATTCTTTATGACATCAAGTACTGGGAGCACACGGGTCAGTACTTTTAATTTTACCACCGGATTTACTGTCATCCTGACCTCCTTGAACTAAACAATGCCACTTTTTAATGGATTGTTTGTCTCACATACTTTTTTATAAGTCATCAGGAAAACCGTGTTTAGTCATACGGATTCAAATCGTTTCGAATCTACCCTGGCATCCATGTCCCATCACAGCAACCATACAATGACATTGATGACAGAAGGCGTCTACCCTGGCATCCATGTCCAATCACAGCAACCACACAATGACATTGGTGACAGATCGCGTCTTGCCTGGCATCCATGTCCCATCACAGCAACCACACAATGACATTGGTGACAGATGGCGTCCACCCTGGCATCCATGTCCCATCACAGCAACCACACAATGACATTGGTGACAGAAGGCGTCTACCCTGGCATCCATGTCCCATCACAGCAACCACACAATGACATTGATGACAGAAGGCGTCTACCCTGGCATCCATGTCCAATCACAGCAACCACACAATGACATTGGTGACAGATGGCGTCTACCCTGGCATCCATGTCCCATCACAGCAACCACACAATGACATTGGTGACAGATGGCGTCTACCCTGGCATCCATGTCCCATCACAGCAACCACACAATGACATTGGTGACAGATGGCGTCTACCCTGGCATCCATGTCCAATCACAGCAACCACACAATGACATTGGTGACAGAAGGCGTCTACCCTGGCATCCATGTCCCATCACAGCAACCACACAATGACATTGGTGACAGATGGCGTCTACCCTGGCATCCATGTCCAATCACAGCAACCACACAATGACATTGGTGACAGATGGCGTCTACCCTGGCATCCATGTCCCATCACAGCAACCACACAATGACATTGGTGACAGATGGCGTCCACCCTGGCATCCATGTCCCATCACAGCAACCACACAATGACATTGGTGACAGATGGCGTCTACCCTGGCATCCATGTCCCATCACAGCAACCACGCAATGACATTGGTGACAGAAGGCGTCTACCCTGGCATCCATGTCCCATCACAGCAACCACACAATGACATTGGTGACAGATGGCGTCTACCCTGGCATCCATGTCCCATCACAGCAACCACACAATGACATTGGTGACAGATGGCGTCCACCCTGGCATCCATGTCCCATCACAGCAACCACACAATGACATTGGTGACAGAAGGCGTCTACCCTGGCATCCATGTCCCATCACAGCAACCACGCAACGACATTGATGACAGAAGGCGTCTACCCTGGCATCCATGTCCCATCACAGCAACCACACAATGACATTGGTGACAGATGGCGTCTACCCTGGCATCCATGTCCCATCACAGCAACAACCACACAATGACATTGGTGACAGATGGCGTCTACCCTGGCATCCATGTCCCATCACAGCAACCACACAATGACATTGGTGACAGATGGCGTCTACCCTGGCATCCATGTCCCATCACAGCAACCACGCAATGACATTGATGACAGAAGGCGTCTACCCTGGCATCCATGTCCAATCACAGCAACCACACAATGACATTGGTGACAGATGGCGTCTACCCTGGCATCCATGTCCCATCACAGCAACCACACAATGACATTGGTGACAGATGGCGTCTACCCTGGCATCCATGTCCCATCACAGCAACCACACAATGACATTGGTGACAGATGGCGTCTACCCTGGCATCCATGTCCCATCACAGCAACCACACAATGACATTGGTGACAGATGGCGTCTACCCTGGCATCCATGTCCCATCACAGCAACCACACAATGACATTGGTGACAGATGGCGTCTACCCTGGCATCCATGTCCCATCACAGCAACCACACAATGACATTGGTGACAGATGGCGTCTACCCTGGCATCCATGTCCAATCACAGCAACCACGCAATGACATTGGTGACAGATGGCGTCTACCCTGGCATCCATGTCCCATCACAGCAACCACACAATGACATTGGTGACAGATGGCGTCTACCCTGGCATCCATGTCCAATCACAGCAACCACACAATGACATTGGTGACAGATGGCGTCTACCCTGGCATCCATGTCCCATCACAGCAACCACGCAATGACATTGGTGACAGATGGCGTCCACCCTGGCATCCATGTCCAATCACAGCAATCACGCAATGACATTGATGACAGAAGGCGTCTACCCTGGCATCCATGTCCCATCACAGCAACCACGCAATGACATTGGTGACAGATGGCGTCTACCCTGGCAACCATACAACATCACAGCAACCACGCAATGACATTGGTGACAGATCGCGTCTACCCTGGCATCCATGTCCCATCACAGCAACCACGCAATGACATTGGTGACAGAAGGCGTCTACCCTGGCATCCATGTCCCATCACAGCAACCACACAATGACATTGGTGACAGATGGCGTCTACCCTGGCATCCATGTCCCATCACAGCAACCACACAATGACATTGGTGACAGATGGCGTCTACCCTGGCATCCATGTCCCATCACAGCAACCACGCAATGACATTGGTGACAGATGGCGTCCACCCTGGCATCCATGTCCAATCACAGCAATCACGCAATGACATTGATGACAGAAGGCGTCTACCCTGGCATCCATGTCCCATCACAGCAACCACACAATGACATGAGTGACAGATGGCGTCTACCCTGACATCCATGTCCCATCACAGCAACCATACAATGCCATTGGTGACAGAAGGCGTCTAGCCTGGCATCCATGTCCCACCACAGCAACCACACAATGATATTGGTGACAGATGGCATCGCGTCTACCCTGGTATCCATGTCCCATCACAGCAACTACACAATGACATTGGTGACAGATGGCGTCCACCCTGGCATCCATGTCCCAGCAGAGCAACTACACAATAACATTAGTGACAGATGGCGTCTTTCCTGGCATCCATGTCCAATCACAGCAACTACACAATGGCATTGGTGACAGATGGCGTCGCGTCTACCCTGGCATCCATGTCACATCACGGCAACTACTCCGACAATGACATTGGGGAGAGAATGGCGTCTACCCTGGATTCCATGTCCCATCACAGCAGCCACACAATGACATTAGTGACAGATGGCGTCTACCCTGGCATCCACGTCCCACCACAGCAACCGTAAAATGCCATTGTAGACAGATGGCGTCTACCCTGGCATCCATGTCCCATCACAGCAACCACGCAACGACATTGATGACAGAAGGCGTCTACCCTGGCATCCATGTCCCATCACAGCAACCACTTAATGACATTGGTGACAGATCGCGTCTACCCTGGCATTCATGTCCCATCACACCAACCACACAATGACATTGATGACAGAAGGCGTCTACCCTGGCATCCATGTCCCATCACAGCAACCACACAATGACATTGATGACAGAAGGCGTCTACCCTGGCATCCATGTCCCATCACAGCAACCACACAATGACATTGGTGACAGATGGCGTCTACCCTGGCATCCATGTCCCATCACGGCAACTACACAATGACATTGGGGAGAGGATGGCGTCTACCCTGGCATCCATGCCCCATCACAGCAGCCACGCAATGACATTGGTGACAGATGACGTCCACCCTGGCATCCATGTCACATCACAGCAATCACACAATGACATTGATGACAGAAGGCGTCTACCCTGGCATCCATGTCCAATCACAGCAATCACGCAATGACATTAGTGACAGATGGCGTCCACCCTGGCATTCATGTCCCATCACAGCAACCACACAATGACATGAGTGGCAGATGGCATCTACCCTGGCATCCATGTCCCATCACAGCAACCACACAATGACATTGGTGACAGATGGCGTCTTTCACATCATTCATCTCATCAGTAATCTTTGACGCTCGCTATTTTCGTTGTTCTCAGCAGATTGCAATGAATTATATCCAATTTTCACCGACATGATTGGCTCACTTGAAATCAAAATTAAGTGTAATGAAAAAAGTGTTATAAAAATAAGAAAAAAATGAGATTAAATAGAATTGAGTGTAATACTTCGATAAATGCAAAAATGACCTGTGACCCGGAACTACATTGTAAAATGAGGTTCCCCCTCCCCTTGTCAGTGCACATTCTTGCTCGAATTGAAACAATGTCTATACATAGTAACGGCCACTCCCTGTATCTGACTGGTCTGACAACAGTCCATGTTATAAACCACCACTAAATTAATTAATTTAACAAACTAATGAAAAAATGAATTTCTTGTTATCAATAATTATAACAATGGTGACAGCTGGGGACTCTAGACACATCCAAACTAT